GATTTGGGGGCAAAGCCTATTGCGGGTGGTGTTTTCGTGTTTTGGTAAGAGAGGCCAGCTCAAGAGGGTACCAACTCCAACTCCAGCCTAGGGAGTCCCTGGCCATTTGGGAGCAGATCCTATGTTGGGTGGCGTTTCAGTAAGGGAGGCCAGCTCAACAGGGGTACGATAACGATTGCAATAGAGTCCACCCTCCGAAACTGCCATTTTCTCCCAGGGGAACTGACCTCTGCAGTTTGGAGATCAGTTACCATTCTGGGACCTCTCCAGGACAGGCCCCACCTGGAGGATGGCAGCAGAGCCTACAGCAAGAACGCTGCAACATTAACACAAGGTTAACCGAAAAGGTGATCGGCTTGCAAGGTAAGGTAGCTGCTTGCCAGGCAATGTGCTCTACAAAATGTTCTCGCTTTCATGATTCTCCTGTCCCTCCACCCCACCCCTCTGCCCAACCACGGGAGGAAATTCAAAGTAAAATAAGATTTGCAAGGCAAATCCTGTCTGGGCAAGCCGCATTATGCTCGCCAACAGGGCCAGCATCAGGATAGCTTGGGGGGGGCAGCTGTCAGGGCCCAGGGTGTCTGGTGGGGCCCACCACTAAGGACACCAGCCTCCAGGTGGGACCTGGGGATCCCCTGGAATTACAGCTCATCTCCAGACTACAGAGACCATTTCCCCTGGAGAAAGTGGCTGCTTTGGAGGGTGGACTCTCTGGCATCGTACCCCACTGAGGTCCCTGTCCTCCCTGGACTCCATCCCCAAATCTCCGGGAGTTCCCCAACCTGGATCTGGCAACCCCCCCCCCCCATCTCCCACCGGTGACCTGGCCACCCTATCCACCACTGCTGACTCCTGAACCATGACATTTCCCTGCCTGTTCGCTTATGAGCACTTTGCCACCCATGCATCCAGGTGCACACACTTCCCGGTGCCATCAGGGAAAGGGCCGTGGGCTGTGCAGATGGCTGTGAGCATGGCCACGGTGGGGGGGGTGTTTCGCACTAGTGAGTAGGACTGCCAGCTCCAGGTGGGGAAATACCTGGAGATTTGGGTGTGGAGCCTGAGGAGGGTGGGGCTTGGGGAGGGGAGGGACTTCAGTTCCATTGAGTCCTCCCTCCAAAGCAGCCATTTTCTCCAGGTGAACTGATCTCTGTTGCCTGGGGATCCGTTGTAATAGCGGGGGATCTCCAGGCATCACCTGGAGGTTGGCAACCCTCAGGTATAGAGATACGTGGGTGGGTGGTCGGGTTACCATCCCCCATTTGGGGGCAGGGGATCCCCATTTTTTTTTAAGTACCCAAGGGTACACATTTATTGTTTTCTTATATTCCTAAACACAGTCATAAACAACTACAACAACAACATATAACCAAGAGACTAATTACAATTTGTTACTATTTATATTTATTTATTATTTATTATTTACATCTCTATCCCGCCCTCCCCGGAGGCTATACCTAATCCATCGCTTCATTATTCTCTAATATTTGTTAATATTCTCTAATTCCACTATTATATATTACTACATACTCAAATATTATTTTTCCCATATCAGCTTAATCTTTGACTCCATTCACATTATACCAATCATATAGTCTCTTCCAGGTTTTTTGAAATGTCCATTTCTTCGTGCCTCTCATTTCCATAGTTAATTTGTCTATTTCCGCCGCTTCTAAGAGTTTATTAATATATTCCTGTTTGGTTGGTGTTTTTTGTATCTTCCAATATTTGGCATATAATATCCTTGCCGCCGTTGACATGTATACATGGGATCCCCATGTTTGTATGCTCCTGCACACCTCCCCCCGAAACCTAACAATCCCTGCCCCCAAGAAACCTAACAATGGAAATCCAAATCGATAAGGCCAAACCTCATTCCAGTTTCAGGTTGCCAACTCTGGGTTTTGAAATACCTGGAAATCTGAGGGTGGAGCTCGGGAGGGTGGGTTTTAGGGAGGATGTCAGTAGGGCACAATGCCATATAATCTAACTTCCAAAGCAGTCATTTTCTCTAGGAGAAGTGGAATAAATATTTTAAATAAGTACCAAATAAATAAATATGTGATCTATGTAGTCTGGAAATCAGCTGCCATTCTGGGAGATCTCCAGTCCCCACCTGGAGGTTGGCAACCCTATGACCTTTAAGGCAGTTTTTTTGGGGGGGGGGCATGGCCTGCTGTTGCTTGCATGGTTTTGTAGAATTAACGGGACTTAGTGAACTGACCCCTAACTAGAAAAGACTCGCTGATTTAATCTTCTCAACTTTAGTCCCCACCATATTCCACCACCACCACCACATCTCCTCTCATGCTCTCCACCACCTCTTCCCTTTCTGAACAAACCATTTTATGTTCTGGAGGCTGCAGCCCTGTGCATGCCAGCCTAATTAGGGTTTCCGGGCTGCCCTGGCCACCGGTGAGGGATGGGTCAGGTAGGGCTGCCAGGTTTATTTTATTTATTTTTTATTTGGTTCAGTTTCTGTCCGTCCCGTCCTGCAAGTGGGCTGAGGGTGGGTTACAACATTAACATAAAACAATAAGATCAAGATTAAAACTATAAACTTAACCCATAACAATGGCGATCAGACTACATCACAGCTATTACAATGGTGCTCTGGTGTTAGACAATTAAATTACCATGAGTAAACCAAGTAGATTATCATTCTGTGTCCTAGAAAATTGAAGACCGTGGTACAGATGGCTATAGAGTGGTAACAGGCTGGTAATAGGAGCGCCCAGAGGTCGATTCGGGGGAGATCGTGGGGGATTGCCATTCCCCCGGGTGAGGTGCGGGGGGCGGGGCACACGGCGAAGCCCCGCCCCCTGCTTCCTCCATAAATCTACCTCACCCCTTTTAAGGCTGTTTATTCCTGTGGCCATCACTACATACTCTGGCAGCAAATTTAACATTTTAATCACTCTCTGTGTAAAGTAGTATTTCCTTTTTTCAGTCCTGAATCTACTGCCCCTCAGTTTCATTGGATGCCTTCAAATTCTAGTATTTTGCGAGAGGGAGAAGAATGTTTCTTGGCAGGGCTTCTCCGCGCTCTCGCCGGCCTCGCAGCTCCACCGCCAAGCTCGACGGGGGCTCGGCGAGAGCTGAAACCAGGGCGGCCACCAGAATTGTTGGGGGGAGGGAGTGAAAACAAAGTATAAATGCCTGGATTTTCTGTGTATTTTCCATAGCAATGTGGTCATCTGCCCCCATGCTTGGTTTATAGCTGTTTAATATAGCTGGTCTTGGTTTATAGCTGTTTTTTCTCCCTGGAATTGCCTACCAATGTTCCCTCTAAACTGTGGAGTCTTGTGAGCAAATTTTCTACTTTGTGAGCCACTGGCATTAAAGCTGTGAGCGAGTGATTTGGCTACTGCATCAGTTAGTTTGCCTCTGGAGCCCTCCTTCCTGAGTGAAGAGAAAAATATGTGAGCAAGAGGCTTAAAAGCTGAGAGCTAGCTCACACTAACTCAGCTTAGAGGGAACACTCCTGTTGTCAGATCTCGGAAGCTAAGCAGGGCAAGTACTTGGATGGGAGACCGCCCAGGAAAGCTCTGAAGAAGGCAGGGGCAAACCTCCTCTCCTTCTCCAGGCCAGTTTGGCTGGAGATCCTGGAATTTTTTTGTCATCTTCTGGGCATGGAACAGTGGTCACTCTGTGTGTGTGTGTGTGTGTGTGTGTGTAGGAAGTATTTGTGAATTTCCTGCATTGTTACAGGGGTTGGATTTGATGACCCTGGAGGCCCCTTCCAGCTCTATGATTCTATGAGTCTCACTTGCCTTGAAAGCCACTTAATGTTAGGCCATGCAGCAGACATGTACTCAGGAAGGTTGTCAAGCCCAGGGTAGTCATATAAAACACATGCGCAAACATCTGGGGAAAGTAACCTCATGGACATCAATAGCGTCTTGAATTCCTGGCTTCCACTGCCCCTGGCAGAATCTAAACTTAATCCTTGGGTTTAATTTGTGTCTGCGTCCCTTCTGTTGTCTTCCAGGTAATTGGGCATGACATCTCCCGAGGCTAACTGGAAGGCTATTCTTCAGCTGTGGAACGACCTGACCTGAGGGCTTCACTCGCTTACAGCAAAACTGAGAGAATAATACCATACCAACAATGACCCCAAGCTCTGGTCAAGACCCCGTGAGACACTGCTCCACCAGGCCACCCAGAACGCTCGGCACAAAGTAAGAAGTTTGTGAAGAAATCTGCACTGCAAACAATTTGTTCCCTCCTGAGGAGACCTGAAAAGGCTGGCCTCTCAAGAAAAAGCGAGGAGTGCAACAGGAGGCGGTCTGACTGAAAAGGTTAAAGAACTGAAATATGATCCCTCTCGATTCTGACAAGATAAACCGGAGGCATTGGAACAGCGGAGATTCTGTTGAACAATGTGCGGAGCAGATGGGATGTCAACCCATGCCGCCGACTCAGATGTCCCGTTTTGTCAGAGGGAAGGAATACAGGAATTGTGCTAAGGCACTGGGAGTTTGCCACATAGCTAGGAAGCCCCAATTCCCAGGTAGCACAGAGAGGGCTAATCCCATGACAGGAAGCACACAAGAAGGTCAAGTCTGCTCTGACCTGGATAGCCCAGGCAAGCTCGATCTCGTCAGGTCTCGGAAACCGACCCTGGCAAGTATTTGGATTGGAGACCTCCAAAGAATACCAGGGCCGGGAGACAGAGGCAGGCTATCAAGCCGCTTCTCTGAACGTCCTCCATGCCCTGGTAGGAGTCTACAGAGGTTGCCATGACTTCCAGGCACGGGCAAACAAACACATACACACACATACACACACACACACACATGTACCAAAAAATGCAAATAAAAGAGAAGAAGGTCAAGCCCCAGGAAGGACCAGGACAACAAACGCTCTTTCTTCCTTAACAATGAGGCCCCAGAGCTGTAAACCTCCCATCACATTCTATCAGCTGGGGAAATGCTTGAATCACCGTTCTCAGATTTTATTGGACCCCAGGGCCCTTAAATATACACAGAGAGACCTACTTTTAACTGCTTGAATACATCTTGGTCAGGTCCACCGTTCGATCCAAGGCACTCAGAGGAGCTTGCTCAGCATCGGCACCTCCTGCGGATCCATGACGGCGACTCAGATGCGACTGTAACATCTGCGCATTTCAAAACACAGAAGAAAACAGCCCTTCTTGCCAGCACGCAGGGGATCCATCGAGTCCAACGATTGCCTCATTCCAGCATTCCAGGACCTTTGCCCAGAAGCCTTAAAGCCACAGACCTTCTTCAGAGAAGTCGCAAAGCTAATGTTTTGCGAGGCTGAGATCCATTTATCATTGAGGGGGCCCCATTCGCCTATCCAAATGGCACTGAGGCAAGCTACCACATCCTTCAGATGGCAGTGAACTCCTGAGTGGATCCAAATGCTAGATGCCAAGATGAGCAAATGGAAGCACCCGAGAAACACCAACAGCAGGAGGAGAGGGAAACAAGACAGAACAACAAGTATGCCTTCTAAATCCAGTTAGATTTCAGTCTAGTAGCACCCTAGTGAGCAACAAGAGTTTCGGGGAATAAGCTGACAAAAGTCACGATCACACACACAATTAGCCGCGCCATAGGCACGAATGCCGGGTGGATTTAAAGGTCGTGAGCCATTTTCTAAAATAAGCCATTCTTTTATCCATACTACGGTCACTGTCTGATAATATAAATACCAGTTAGGTCCATTCATTCCCCCTCTCCCTTTTCTATCTTTATTCTTGCCCTTTTAGGATGCCATATAAACTGTTTCGTAACTCTTCAATTCTTCAAAAAAAATTGCTTTTTAAAAATAGGAATATTTTGGACTAAAAATAAAAACCTTGGCAATATATTCATCTTTATCACTGCTGTTTTGCCCATCATAGATAAAGGGATATCTTTCCATCTTGAGAGGTCAATTTTAATTTCTTCTAATAATTTGTAATAATTGTCTTCTTTTAAAGAGCTGCATTTGATAGTTAAATTTATTCCAAGGTATTTTACTTTTTTCACTACTTCCATCGACGTTATTTTTCGTATCTCTTGAAGTGTATCTGGTAGACAGTTTTTAGCTAAAAGCTTTGTTTTCTTATAGTTTATTTTGAGCCCTGTGACTTGACTATATTTACTAATAGTGTCCATCAAAAAGGCAATAGATGTTATAGGTTTCTCTAGTATAAATAACAGATCATCTGCAAACGCCAGATGCAAAAGCCTTCTGAGGCCCCGTTCACATGCTGAATTTGCTGCGGGAGAGCCACGAATGCTGGGCGGATTTTCAGGGCGCGATCACATCGCAACATTTGGCAAGTGTAGTGCACCCGTGGCCAACCCGTGGTGTGCTGCCAAAGCTGCACAGTTAAAAAGTATCTCAAGAAATGTACTAGCAAATGGTTTGCCACGGGCTGCCAACAGAATCGTTCCGTGTGATCGCGCCACCGCGCGGCTTTCCCTTGGCTATCCTTGACGTGTACGCGCTGACGGACAGAACCACAGTGTGCCGCCGTCACATCGGATTGTGTTCTGGTGGATCTAATTGTGCCGGCGCAAAGAGCCACGCCTCCCCCCGCGTTATCTGGCCTGTGTGACCGGGGCCTGAATTAGGCTGGCAAACTGCTCTCTACAAGCCTCAAGAGTATACATTCTTCAAATTACTATCCTGGGGGAAAACCATGGTTATTTAAGATGAAAAACAACATGAAGCTGAATGGAATGTCATCTGATATTATTTAGAAGTGACCTCTGGTTCCATTTAAAGTGTTTATGTTGTATTTGGAGCAAGCCAGTCTTCTCTAACTAGATTCTCCATTAACACTATATTAATACAGGACTGGTTTGCTCCTCAATATATATATTAATATAGTGTTAATGGAGAGCATTTAAGCCAGAAAAATTAAGAAGGCTTTTTTCCCATTCAGCATCATATATTCACTCCAACCATTCATAAAGGCTCCCAAAATGAGCCTATATTCAGGTGCTCATTGAGATGGATGGACGTTTCCTTGTAATATTATAAAGATTTATATATAATGTAATACAATGTTTAACATGCAAAAATGTACTAAATGTCTTAGTCAACACATCACAGTAGTCGATTGGTTGTATTTCCTGTGTGGGTAACTGTGATCCCTCCTGGGTGTGTTGTTTTTTTTTTTAATCTCAGAAGCTAAGCAGGGCCAGGACTTGGATGGGAGACTGCCAAGGAAGACTCCACGGAGGAAGGCACTGGCAAACCTCCTCCTCTGCTTCTCAACTGCCTTGGAAGGCCCTTATTGGGGTGGTCATAAATCAGCTGTGACTTGATGGCGCTTCATACAAACACAAAGTGCAGAAACTGATTTTTGTTCTGATTCAGACCAGTCGGTTTCTTATAGAGTGGGACAAGTGGAGACCTGCCAGAAACTTGTGGGATGGTTATCCCATTCCTCACACCTTTGCTTCCTCCCCTCTCCCCCTATCACACCTTTGCTTCCTCTCCTCACCCCCTACCTCTCTCACACTATTACTCCTCCATGCATGTGACTTCCTCTCTCTTTCTGACCCATCATAATTCTTTGTTTTTCTACCTCCCCACCTCATCATTCTTCCTCTCTTTCTGACTCCCACCCCAGCAATCTCTCTTTCTGCCCCGTCACTCTCCCAGCCTCCTGCCTGCTTCCTCTCCTCCCCACGCACAACAGCAGTGGCAGCTCTCTGGGAATCACAACGAATCTCCTAGCTATAGAGGTCAATTCACCTTAGGGCTGCCAGCTCCAGGTTGGGAAATTCCTGGAGGTTTGGGGGTGAAGCCTTGGGAAGGCTTGGGGTGGCAAGCAGCCTCAGCAGGGTATAATGCCACAGACTCAACCCTCCAAAGCAGCCATTTTATCCAGGGGAACTGATCTCGACTCTGTCACCTGGACAACACTTGTAATTCTGGGTGATCTCCAGCACTCACCTGGAGGCTGGCAATGGTAGTTCTCGTTGAGGAAATGGCTGGTTTGGAAGGTGGAGTCTATGGCATTATACTGGTCTGAAGTTCCTCCCCTCCTCAAATCCCACCATCCTTCCTTCCTTCCTTCCTTCCTTCCTTCCTTCCTTCCTTCCTTCCTTTCTCCCTTCCTTTCTTTCCAAATTACTACCACTAACCCCACTCTGTCTCCACCCCTTTTCTCTCTTTCCCCCCTATCTACCTCTGTCTCTCTCTCTCTACCTCCTCTTCTCCATTCCTCCCTTCCACTCGCCCTTCCTTCCTATCTAGGGCCCGTCGTCTACCGCCACGACGGGCTTTCCTTACTAGTATTTATTATAACATTATTCTCTCCTCCTTTTTTATGTGCACAACAACCCTGTGAGGTTGGTTAGGCTTAAAGTATGTGACTGGTCCAAAATCATCCAGTCAGCTTCCACCACAAGTAGGGTTGCAGATCCCCTGCGGGAGGGGGTTCGTCCTCTCTAGTGGCCTCTGACCTGCCAGCCCGGATCCAGCCGGCAGGGCAACCCCGCCCCCAAAGTGCTGGAGCGGGCCGACACGCTTGGTGCGATGACATCACCCAGAGGTGATGTCATCATGCCGGGCACATCGCCAGGGGGACGCTATAGCTTTCAACCTGAAAACTCTATGGTACCATAGAGTTTTCAGGCTGAATGCTAGAGCATCCCAGCAACGTGCCTAGTGCAATGAGGTCACTTCCGAGTGACGCCATCATGGTGCGCATGGGCATGCAAAACTCCTGGACCAGGAGCCTCCTGCCCCCGCTAAAAAAAAAGGTAATTCAACCCTAACTGCAAGATGGGGATCTGAATCTGGGTCTCGCAGACCCTACTTTGAAGCTCTATCTGTTAACATCACACTGGCTTTCATAGGGTGGCTGCTGATGAACAGTAGCAAGCAGCTGGGCCTACTTGAGTCTAGGCTTGCCAAGTCCCCCCGGGGGGGGGGGGAACCCCCACCCCAGAGGCGAGAGGCCTGTTACCCGCTGCCGGCGGATCGGGCCCCGGGGGGCACCCCACCCCCAAAGCGTGCAACATGCCCAGCATGAGCACGTCACCCGGAGGTGATGTGATTGCATTGGGCATGATGGGGGCGGGGCCACAATAATCCGAGGGAAAACTCTATGGTTTTCCCTCGGATGATTGTGGCCCCGCCCCCAACGTGCCCGACGCGATTACGTCACTTCTGGCCACGTGTGCGGTCTCGCTGGGTACACAACACTTACACACAGCGTTGTGTTATTTTGTGGGTTTTGTGCTTTTTGATTATTTTATTTATAGTCAAAGCTATATTCTGAATACAGTAAATGAAAGAACTGAATTTTGATTTTCAATTATTGTGTTGTTTTGGTTAGCCTTAAGAAACAAAATTATTCCCTGCATTTGGTTTTTGGATCACGCTCTAGCAATTCAGACCACAAATGAAAACAAAGTCCTCCTGCTGGCAATGGTTTCTGGCATGCGGTTCTGATGGGGGATTCTCCTTCCCGCTTTCTGGGGAGTTACCCGCTCAGAGTTACACCCTTTTGAGCTGCTCAGAAAGTCCACTCCCTCTGGGTACACAGGACATTGTTTTTCACTGGGTTTCAGTTTGTTGGGAAGAGAATTATCCAGGGACTACAGTTATATATGTACTTGTTAAATCTCTCTCCTCTTGTGCACCAAACTACTTATTTATGAAAGCATTTACATCAGTATTGCCAGGTCCGCTCATCACTCCAGTGGGGGGATTTGGGGGGGGGATTCTGGGGGTGGGCGAGGATGCCCCCAAGCCCCACCTGCCAGCCCACGACTGCCCCTCTCCCTCCCTCCTGCTAGATTCAAAGGGCTCTCCAGCTGATAGGTGGACCACATGGTCCCCACTGGTCAGCTGAAGCCCTTTAAATCAGGCAGGAGGGGAGGGAGAGGGGTGGCCTGGCGGGTGGTCGCTCTTGGTGGCGGGGCTTCCCCCGCAGACCAGCTGGCCGGGGGCGGACTGAAGCCCCAGAAGCAGGGGAACCCCTGCACAGACCTGGGAGCTGGCAACCCTAATTTACATCCCGCCTTTCCTCGCGGTTCACAAGCAGTGTTCCCTCTAAGCTGAGTTAGTGTGAGCTACGTCACAGGTTTTTAGCACACATTTTTGTCT